CCCCCCGCCCCAAACAATTCTGGGACACCAGCTGAGTGTCCTACAATTCTGACACCATCTACCTGGAGTTAGTGTCAGATCCCACAGGGTATGGGCTCTGCCCCACAAGACTGCCCCCACTTCAGATGCCAGTCACAAGTCCAGCTTGTTACCTGTGCCTCTGATCAACTGGCTGTTAATTGGAAGCTCCCATGATCCTCCTCTTCCGGTTTGATCAATTTGCTAGAGTGGCTCACAGAATTCAGGAAAACTGTTTACTTACTAGATTACCAATATATTATAAAAGGACATAACTCAGGAACAGCTGGATGGAAGAGATGCATAGGGCAAGGTATGTGGGCAGGGGCCCCGAGGTTCCATGCTCTCTGAACACACCACTCTCCCAGCACCTCCGCCTGTTCACCAACCCAGAAGCTCTCTGAGTCCTGTCCTTTTGGCTTCTTCTGGAGGTTCCATTACATAGGCATGATTCCTTAAACCACTGGCCCTTGGTGATTGATTTAACTCTCCAGCCCCTCCCTCCTCCTGGGAGGGTGGGGGTGGGTGGGAGTGAAAGTTCCAATCCTCTGATTATGGTTGGTTCTCCTGTTGACCAGGTCCCATCCTTAGGGATGTCCCAAAAGTTACCTTACACTTATAGACACCTGTACACCAATATGCACTTGTGAGCAACACTTCTTTCACCTTTATGGTTCTTGAGCTATTTTAGGAACCAAGGACAAAAGGCCAACTACTATAAGAAAAATGCTCCCAAATGTTCCCATTGCTCTTATCGCTTAGGAAATTCCAAGGGTTTTAGGAGTTCTGTGCCAGAAATGGGATGAAGACCAAAATATATATTTCTTATTATAAATCACAATCTCACAGCCTCTATAAATAAGTAAGAATAAAAATACCCACTTACATCGTTGCTGGGATGAAATGAGATAATATATGTAAAAACTTGGTAGGTACTGAATAGAAATCAGCGTTCAGTGTGGATTTGGGGGGGGGCTTTATAATTATTCCTCACCAAGGGGTCAGGGCTCCCAGGTAAGACCTGTTACCCTAGGGAATATGGGGAGCAGTCCAGAAGGTGAATTGACACAGGTGGAAAGAGTGGGGAAAAGACACCGATAGCACATATATTTTAAGCACTTGTCTGAGGTCAGAGATTGACAGGTGTTATCTCATTTCTTCCTGACAAGTCCCGCAGGAAGTAGGTATCTTATCATTATCATCCCCATTTCACAGGTGAGAAAACAGGCACAGACATTAAATAAAACACTCAAGGGCTCATGTCTAGTAAGTAGCTTCAGAGCCAGAAGGCTTAGTCACTCATTGTGTTATGATGAGTTTTACCCTAAGCAGATGCTACAGGCTCAAGGAAGGGAGGGTTCTGTAGGAGTGGTCTGGAAGGTATAGGAGGAGAGGCACACAGGGTGCCCACTGCAGTGCTGAGATGCAGGTGGCACTGCTGACAGGGCTTCTGTTGAGGTCCTGACTCGAAAGCTGGGTTTCCCCTAAGGATGGGGAAGAGGAGGGATTGTTTGAGGGAATAATATTATTAGTGGCTATGTCATCATCATGGGCAAGTTATTAAGAGCTTCCTCTGTGCCCAACATTGTATAGACTACAAACTAATTTCGTGCGCATTTAGATGCATTTAGGGAACTTACAGTCAGGTGGAGGAAACAGGGATGTGCCTTGACAGCCAGTGGTGGGAGACAGTGTATCATTAAGTGCTTAGTTGCCTGGAGTAAAGCTGGAATTTTCGCCCCAGGCCCATGGAATCAGGGCACTCCGGGAAGCTGGCAGGGGTTTTGGCGGCTCACCCTGTCCTCACGCCGCCTTCTCTCCGGTTGATCCCATAATCCACCCATCCATCACACCCAGCTGGATCGCCCGGCCTCCCCCACAAAGTGCTTCTCTGTTGGAGCACATGATTCAGCCCCGCTTACCTGGCCTCATATTGTTCTGTTGTTTTGAGGCCGCTGGGCTTAACTTCTTAATAGATTGGGAGCCTCTTGAGGTGTTTTGCTCCCTCCTCATTTCCACAGCAGCTGACACCATGGATGGTTTGCCAGTCCCATCTCAGTGGAGACTGCTGGGGGCTGAAATCAGACCTCCCAGTGTTTAGCTCCCTACCATGTGCCCATTGGGCCTCCGAGGGGGCCCTGGTTTCCAACTCTGCTGTATGGAGGAAACTCACATGTGGGGAATCAGTGGGGCTGAAGCGGGTGGCGTGGCCTGATTCTGTCCTTGAATGTGGGCGCCGTCTGTCCTCACGCTGCAGTTGTGGAGACTGAGGCTCGGCAGTTAAGTGCCCAGGGCGCTCTGCGAGTTGTGAGGAACTGATACTAAGACCCAGGACTTCTGACCCCCAGCCTGAGAGTTCAGGAATTTGAAGAAGGGTTTGGTTCCTGTGAAGCAACAGGGCCTAAGTGCACAGTTTGGGGTCCCTTCCATCCTGGGTTCTGGTTGTAACCCTGACAATCTCTGGCTAAGTGTCCTTGGTCAAGTCACTCTCTCTGAGCCTCAGTTTCTTCATGGCAGGGGAAGGAGAAATGGTGATAATATCTATTGTGAAGGATGACACACAGAGAGGAGAGAGCCCAGTGCTGGGTGGTGACTCTGACATGGGGGAGGGGTGGCACAGAGGTTTGCTCTGCCCAGGGGCTGTTCCCAGGCTGGGATGACTAATGCAGGACAAACAAAACAAACTTGTGACATCACCCACCTCCCCATTCGCCCAGTTTGCCTCCCTGTAGACAAGGTCTACAGGGCCACCCAGGTGGTTTTCTTCCTGTGTGGGGAGAGGACTACCTGTCCAGTCAAAAGGGCCCCCCCACACCCACCTGAACAATGCTTCAGGGTGACTCAGCCCAGAGAAGTCCGGAGAAGCCAAAGTCTAAACCCGCCCCACGAGCAGGAGCCCTGGGCTCTGAGCGCTGCCAGATATGGCCAGATGGCTTCAAATGGTGGACAGGTGTCCTGGCTTCAAATCCAGGCCCTGCCACTTACTAGCTGTATGACATTAGGCAAGCAACTTCCTCCCTGGGCCTCAGTTTCCTCATTGGTTCAAATCCCACTCTGTTATATCACGATTAGGCAGCAGCTGCTTCCGGACTCTCTTCTCTCCAGAGAGGAGCTGTTTCTCCTCATTGTCCCACCATGTCATACCCTCTTTGGATTTATTCAGATTATCTTGGGAACACCAGGTGCTTGCCTACCATAAAACCCAGTTGTCAGAACTGGACTATAGGACCACTGGACAAAGCACTGCTCCCGAGCAGTGAATTTTCCAGGTACCTGCAGGTGAACCCTTTTAATCCAGGCCCAGTCATGGTGTCTCATTCTTGCAGTGATGTATCGGTAAGGTGGGAGCGTGGGTGTTAGAATCCTTCTTTCACAGATGAAGCTACGGAGGCTGCCAAAGTCTCAACATTGTAAGAGTCAGCAATAGTAAGACAGTGGCAGACTCAGGCCCAGGCCCAGGCCGGTGGGTCCTGCCACCAGTGGGGGGTGATGCTGGTGTGGCATGACTTCCAGCCTGCTAGCTCTGACCCCCACAGACATGGGTTCCTGTTCTGCCCCTTGCCTCATCTTCTGAGAGCCTGGAGGAGATAATTTCAACACCTGCCTACCTCGTGATAATAATAACTCCTAGCTTTTACTATATACCAATCATTCTCCCAAGGGCTTACCACGTTATCCACATTTACCCTTCGCCACTATAGTAGGTGCCATTGTCATTCCCATTTTACAGGTTGGGAACACTGAGCCACAGAGAGGTTCTTGTGACTTGCCCAAGGTCCTGCGTTTGTAAATGGCAGTGTTGGGATTTACAGCCCGGTGATCTGGCTGAGTTCATGCTCTTAACCCACTGCCCTGGTACCTTGTCTGGGCTGCTGTGAGGTCTGAGCGTGACTAGGTGTGTGACGTGTAAGGGTCTCAGCACACAGCAGCCGCTGCTGTTATTACTAACCCCCAGCTAAGGCAGGTGATCTCAAGGGATTTGTCCGTTTGGCCTCTTTTTTGTGACGCTTGCTTTCCCATGGATCCTCTCTCCTTGTTTCTGCAGGGGATCAAGCTTGAAGAGCAGAAGCCAGGACCCCAGAAGAACAAGGTGGGCTGGGTGGGTGAGGTGGCAGCCAGGTGATAGGAAGGTAGGGGGAGCGGCTGGCATGCTGGGGGCCGCTATCTTATACTGTCTGATTTTCACCAAGAGCCACGTAAGTAGCTGCACCTGTGTTGACTAGGACAGAGTGGGCAGCCAGGCAGGGTGGGGTGGAGGCCTTGGGGGAGACCCAAGGCTGTGGCTTGGCCTGGGTCCTCGGCACCCAGTCCTGTGAGTGAACCACACACGGCGTTCAGGGTGTCAGGCTCTGTGCTCTGGGCTCCAGCAGGCATCAGTCAGCTTCAAGGTCCATTTCTGAGGCCCAGAGGTGCAGTTCATCACTTGGAAGTCAGCCCCCTTGCCTGTGCTGGGTGGAACCAGGGGTTGGCTTCCTGTTGGAGCCTCCCAGGGTGCGAAGCTAGTGTCAGTAGGTGTATGAAGTTCAGCGCCTCTGTGTTCTGCATCTTCCTTCTTCTCTGTGTTGCATGTTCCGCTGGCCGGTTTGCGCTCAGGCTGTCAGTTTGGGAAACAGCTCAAGAGAAGCCAGATCCCAGAGCTGCCTCCAGGCTGTTTGCCCTGGTGTAGTCTTCTAGGCCCCCCAACGCACCCCCTCCCCAGACCGGGGAGAGGGACTGGAAACAGTGATCAAATTTCATGGGCACTGCTGGGACTAATGGTGGCATTGTTGGTTTGTCTTGCAGGATGACTATATCCCGTACCCCAGCATTGATGAGGTAGGAGCCCCCTGGATCCTGTCTCTGGGGAGAAGCTGGGTAGCTGATGGTGATGGTCCCTGTCCCGCCCCACGTAGAAGAGAATCTAGGGCCTGAGGCCTCCTCCTCTTTATGACGTCAGCTTTTCCAGGTTTAAATTGGGAGTACCAGTCCAGGCCTTGCAACCCTGGGGCTGCAGAGCCGGTGAAGCTGGGAATGCTGTGAAACTGAGAGGAGGGGGTTCCTGTTATTGTCTTTGGCTTCAGATACTGGGGCCCCCTTATTGGGGCAGCTCAAAGGTGGTGGGGACACCAATTCTGGGGCTACTCTCCTTCCCCTGAAGACCCAGGGCAGACCGCAGTGCAATACCCTCTCTCTGCCCCCAGGTTGTGGAGAAAGGAGGACCGTACCCCCTGATTGTCCTGCCCCAGTTTGGAGGCTATTGGATTGAGGATCCGGAGAACGTGGGCACACCGACCTCCCTGGGCAGCAGCATCTGTGAGGAGGAGGAAGAGGACGGCCTCAGCCCCAACACCTTCGGCTACAAGCTCGAGTGCAAGAGTGAAGCCAGGGCCTACCGCAGGCACTTCTTAGGGAAGGTGAGGCTGACGGACCCTGGGCGAAAATAGCTGCCAGAGTGGGACTCTGCACGAGGAGCCCAGCGACCTTCTCCAGTGCCCCCCTCTCTTTGTTTCTGTTCCTTCCTGGTCTTGCCCCCTTCCTCGCTGCCTACCTCTGACCTCCTTGGAGAAGTCTGACTGGCTCTGCTCCTGGGCAGGGGGGTTGGGGTGTGCAGAAGTCTGCAAGGCTCCGCGTGGTGGGTCCTTGTGGGGATCACCCTGAGAAAATGTTCTAGGAGGTGATGGAATGGGTAGTATTTGGGTGGAAGGAAAAATGTGTTCTCCGTTTCCATCTAAATAGTACAAATCTCTCATGCCCTCATTCAAGCAGGTCCCCCCGGGTGCTTGTACTGGGTGATGCGTTGTGAGCCTCTGATTGCTTAACAGTGGCAGTTACATTTCTTTAAATATATTCTGCCCCTCGGGCTTGCCAGATTTCAGAAGTCCCAAGGGCAGAGCCTGGAAGTCTCCAGCCTGAGGCAGCTTTGCTGAGTCTCACAGGGAGGAGGTGGATCAGGATCTCCTCCCTGCCAGCTTACTAAAATGCAGATTCCAGGGCCCCGCTGATGTGGCAGGTCTGAGGTGGGCTCCCGGAGCCAGGGTGAGACTCACTGTTTAGAGACCTCCCTGCTCCTCGTGGGTGGATGTGGCAGGGTTCCTGCCTCGCTTTCTTCTCACAAATAGCCTGAATTGGTGGGGGCTACCCACCCCGGGAGCAAGGAAGTAGACTCGGTGCCTTGTGGTAAAGAACTTGAACTTAAGACAAATGTGGGTTTGTACTCTGGATCTGTCACCTACGATAATAGTTGTGTGACCCTGGACAGTTGCTTAACCTCCCTGAACATGGTCTTCACATCTGTGAAATGGGGATGATGATGTTATCTGCCCCATAAAGTCATGGTCTGGGCTACAGGAGGTAATAGGTATTAAGCCCTTAGCCCAGTTCCTGGCACATCCGTGGACTTGGCAGTTGGAACCCATTACTGTGATCCTCCCTTTCCCACTCCGGCTTCTCCCCTCCCTCATCGTCATCAGTAGTGGCCTCAGCAGCACCATCCTTCTCTTCTTCGCTGCTGTGGGGCTTCTCACTCACTCCTGGTAAAGGAGGGGACTTAGGGGGCCATGCCTGGAAGGTCTCCCTCCTCCTTGCTAACGCCTGATTTCTGTTTTCTAGGATCATCTAAACTTTTATTGTACTGGCAGCAGTTTGGGAAACTTGCTTCTGTCCATCAAGTGCGAAGAGGCCGAGAGCATTGAGTACCTTCGGATCATTCTCAGGTAGGGCTGCTGCGCTGTCGGAGGCCACACCCCTAGTGGTGGGGACCCAGAAATACCAGTCTGTCCAGTCGTGTCTGGGTGTGCTTGGGGGTGGGTGGGTGGGGATAGACCGGCTGGAATCCTGGGGCTGCGTCCAAGGTGCCAGGCAGGGAGAGCAGGTGTTTATGCCAGCTGGCTGGTTGCGGGAGTCAGAGTGGTATTCTGCTGTTACGGTCACCTAGACAAAACCCCTACCTGCCTCTCTTGCTGGGGACCGTGGCTCTGAGGAGGATGGGAAGCTCATCCTGCCGAGACACAGCTCCAGATCATCCTGGGAGAGGGTTTGCCAGAAGGCTGTTTAGCATCTGTTCCCCACGATGGACTGACGGTCACAGCAGGAGCAGTGATTTACAACTAAGCCAGGAACTTCTCTCAAGGGCAGGAACTGGAACTGGTTCCTGTTTGGTTCGACTAACATGCTTTGTAGAACCTCCTTTGTACCAGGAACTGTGATAGGCACTGGGGATGCAGTGATGGCCGAGCCGTCTAAAGGTTTATGGTCTAGTGGGAGAGAAAAATAGAGGATTAGAATATGTGTCACTGGTATTATTTAAGTGACATGCACAGGATGCTGTGGGAGCACAGAGAGTCTGTGTCTTATTTCTCTGTGTCCCTGGTGGGCTGGTGGAGAAGCCAAGAGGCCAAGTGTGAAGGCCAAGTGCTGGTGCTTAGCGGAGTGCTGGGAACCTGTGACGCTCCCAGTCCCTATTTGTGGATTCTAATTGGAAGTCCTTGAAGGTATTTGGAAAAGAACAATAGCATTTTTTTTTCTGCCCAAATATTGAGATAAATGTGGGAGGGGACAGGGACACATAGCCCTGCAATGAGAGAGATGGAGTGGTACCAGGAAGTTGTCAGCGCCCACCCAATCTTGGCTTGCTTTTTTAATCAGAAAGGGAGGACTTTTCTTTATTGAGGTTCACCTGGCTAGAAATCATATTTGCAAGGCATGGAAGAGTCAATTAAATCACTAGAGCCTATTTCTGAGGGAGTAATACCTCGCTCTCCATCTCAAATAGGATTTTGAGCTAGGTGAACCTCTGTAAAGAAATTACTTCCTTTCTTAATAAAAATCAGACCCAGATTGGGTAGGATTTCTGAGTAAGATGACAGTTGAACATAAGGGTCTAATCCCCTTTTTCGAATATTTTATCCTGTCTGAAATGCTGCATCAGGACTGAAAACTAAAGAAAGATGCCAGGAACGCAACACACACTTTGATGATATTTTTTTTGTGGGTGTGTAATCTATGGGGCAGTCAGGACCCTAATGTAAGTGATATTGAGAGTTGAACCCCAGTTCCCCTTCCTTAGAAAGCAATGTAATGTGGGAATATATGAAACTGGAGTTTCTGGGGGAATCCTGTAGTTTTTAGAAGTGAGGGTGAACCCTGCAACAGCTGGGGTCTTCCACATGGAAACACTGTTGCAGTTTTGAGTTTACCGGCATTTGAAAGCATTGTTCTGGGGAGCCCAAGGGCAAGCTCAAATATGGCTCTCTCACACAGAAAGCCAGTGGATAGGGTGGCGGAGAGAAGCCATATACCCGCTAAGAAGTTGGACAAGCCTGTCATGTACTTGGAGTGATGGCCAGGCCAAACTGAAAACTAGACATAAAAAAATCGGCCCCGTGGCTTAGAAGCTTTAACAGACACAAAGAAGAAATTATGTAGAGATGAAATTTCCCTGCTGGCAGTGACTCCTGTCCCAGCTCCTTCCTCATTCCCCGTAGGCTTCTGGATTGTTTAATAGATGTCTTATATCCAGCTCTTCTGAGAAGAAAATTCTAATAGCCTCTATATGTGCTGTGAGAGTAGCCAAGAAGAATCTACCCACAATATGGAAACATAGCAAGCCTGAGTAGATTTCTTCTTTTTCAAATTTGAACGTGAAGAAGAAGAAGAAGGAAAACCCCTCACAGGTCAGTGAAAGAAAAGATTCTGCATCTGAAAAATCATAACCTAGCATTTAGAAGGTAAGGAAATAACCAAGTTTTGGAAAGGATTTAATACAGAAAGCCAAGTAAAATTTAGATAGCTATTAACCTTGTATTTTCAGCAAATTCAGAAAAAAAAGTAAACTGTCCGAAAGAAAAGACAAAATATAAAATGAGGCAACAGAATGAGATGAAAAATCTCATATGCTGGTTAAATTAAGGAAATAAGAAAACTAAACATGGCGAGAAATAATTTTAAATGGCTTTAGAAGTAGTAAAACACAGAATCTTCTTTGTGGAAAACACAGTAATATTGAGAACATGCTTAAGAAGCTCTCACATAATTCAAAGGAAAACATCACTTTAAAATGATGAGCAAAATTATAATGAATATGGAGGGTAGAGAACATGAATTAAATGTGGATAATTGACGTTTTAAAGCTGATTGAAGACTTAAATCTGCAGATGAAAATGACTCATCCAATATCAGGCAAAATCAATGAAAGAAAACCAGTAGCTGGACATATTTTGATGAAGATTAAATATTCCATGGATGTAAAATCACTGGTAGAGTGAAAACATCCCAAATAATAAAAACAAAGAAAACATACATATATAGAAAAAGATGAAAAATAAAGGATTCATAAATATGGTGGTAGAAGTAAGTCTGAGTACATAGATGATGTAGAATAAATAGTGAGTTAAATTCCACTATTAAACGGCAAAGATTCTCAGTTTGGGTCATCCTTCAAAAAACAAAACAAAACAAAACAAAACCTAATCAATCAATCTATATTTTATTAAAGAAAGTAGCTCAGTATATTTAAAAAGAAAAGTATTGAGAAAAAGTTATAATAATCAAATATAAAAAGAAAGCAGTGTTAGCAATATTAATATGGAAAACTAGAATTCAAGGCAAAAAAATTTTCAGTGTGATAAAGAGGGCTATTGTATATTCATGAAAGATAAAATCCACAAAGATATCTGATGAGCCTCTTTGTTATAGTATATATTATAACATAGTGTATATATAAAATGATACATATATCATTGTACATACCCATATATACAGTGTACATGCCTATATAGTGTGTATATATACATATATAATTAAAATATGGAGAAATTCACAGAATACAATTGTAGTGGTAGATTTTAACACACTTCTTATCACAGATTAACTAGGATAGGAAATGAGAGGATGTGGATAATTTTAATAATATGTGAGTTATACATATTTATTTTTATCTGTATCTATATTTAGCCATCAAGCTTTGATCCTCTATAAGAGATTTTTGCTTCTTTTCTAGTGCTTATGGAATATTTACACAAATTGATTGTAAGGTATATTGGTGGTTTTCTGTGAATCTGCTACAAGAGTGTCATCTTGGAGCTTTAAAGCAAAGCAAAGCAAAAAACAAAAAACAAGACCCAGACTTCTAGGTGCCAATCATTTAAAAAGCTATGCAATATATATAGATGATGTATTATAGGATTGTATGCTTGAAACCTATACAATTTTACTAACCAATGTTACACCAATAAATTTAATAAAAATTAATAAAAAATAAAAAGCAATAAAAATGTAAACATATGCATATGTATATATTTTAATATAAATATGTAAGATATATAAAGACATAAATAATATATACTCCTATTTCCCCCTTATTTCTAGAATTATATAGAACATATTGCTTTGTAACTTGTATCTCTTAGCAATATATCTAAAACTCTTTCCATATTTACATAAAGAGCATCTTAATCCCTTTTACTGCGGCATAGTATTTCATTACATGGATGTGAAATAATGTATTTATTGGACCCCCTATTAATGGCTATTCTCAGTATTTTGGTATCACACATAATGCTGCAATGAATAACCTTGTACAAATGTCCATTTGTATGGATTAAAATAATTCTCAGAAATGAGACAGCTGGGTCAAAATGTAAATACATTTGTATTTTAATAGATTTGCCCAATTGCCTTCTGTAGGAGGTCTATAAATTTGAACTTTTACCAGTAATGTATCAGAGTGCCCATTTTTCCAAAGTCTCCTCAACAGAGTATTTGGTCAAACACTTGGATTTTTGCCAACCTGATGGGTGAAAATGGAATTTAAGTGTAGTTTAAATTTACAATAATTTTACTGAATTATGTTGGGCATCTCTTCATACATTTAAGAATCTCATGTATTTATTTTCTGTGCACTGTCTGTTCATAAGCTTTGTTCCTTTTCTGTTTATTGGATTATTAGTCCATATTTCTATTTTTAAAAATCTTGCAGGTAATTCTTGATAGCAGGTAGATTTAGGAACCAGTCTTTTGAGGCACAAAGTAAATCTAAATAAATTTCAAAAAGCAGACACTTTGCCAAATATATTTGCGTACAGGGTAACACTAAAACTAGAAATTAATAACAAAATCATGTTTCAAAAACCCTGCTTAACCACTTAGAAATAAACAATCTCAACACTTTCCTAAATAACAGTTGGGCCAAAGAGGAACTCAAAGCTGAAGATTTTTATAGATATATTTATAGAATATTTATAAAATAATGAGATTTATAATATTACATATAAAAACTTATGGGTTGTGTTCAAAGCTGTACTTAGAAGAAAATTAATTTTCTTAAATAGTTTCTTATTAAATATGAAAGAATGACCTTTGCAAGTTGTTATGGTGGTGGTTAGCTAGCAACTTCTCTGTGCTTCAGTTTCTTCATCCGTGAGTTGTGATGGTAGTATCCACCTTAAAATGATTGAATGCTTATTATGGGCTAGAGCCTGATACACTGTAGCTACTCAAGAATGGTAGCTGCTGTTATTATCCATATTATTACCTGAGGAAAAGAAGAGGAAGGAATTAACAAAGATTAAGGCCAAAATAAATAAATGAGAAATAATAAACACACAAGTCTTGATAAATAAATCTAGGCTACAGATTTATTTATAACATAGAAAAAGATATACTTCTTTTGGGAGAACAAAACAACAACCAAATAGGTAAGTAGCCAGTCAAATGT